AAATAAAACATCTACTTCTGCTTCATTGACTATGCAAAAGCCTTTGACTGTGTCGACCACAACAAGCTATGGCAAGTCCTTAAAGAAATGGGAGTGCCTCACCACCTTATCTGTCTCCTGAGAAACCTATACGTGGGACAGGAAGCAACAGTTAGAACTGGATATGGAACCACTGATTGGTTCAAAATTGGGAAAGGAGTTAGAGAAGGCTGTATATTGTCCCCCTGCTTATTTAACTTATATGCAGAATACGTCATGCGAAAGGCTGGACTGGAGGAATTCCAGGCTGGAATTAAGATTGCCGGAAGAAATATCAACAACCTAAGATATGCAGATAATACCACGCTGATGGCAAAAAGAATTAAAGAACACCTTAATGAGGGTGAAAGACGAGAGTGCAAAAAATGGTCTCAAGCTCAACATTAAAAAAAACTATGATCATGGCCATTGGTCCGATCACTTCCTGGCAAATAGAAGGGGAAGATATGGAGACAGTGACAGATTTTATTTTCTTGGGCTCTATGATCACTGCAGATGGAGACAGCAGCCACAAAATCAAAAGACCCCTGCTTCTTGGGATGAAAGCGATGACAAACCTAGACAGCATCTTAAAAAGCAGAGACATCACCTTGCCGACAAAGGTTCGCATAGTCAAAGCTAAGGTTTTTCCAGTAGCAATGTATGGAAGTGAGAGCTGGACCATAAAGAAGGCCGACTGCTAAAGAATTGATGCTTTTGAATTGTGGTGATGGAGGACACTCTTGAGAATCCCCTGGACTTCAAGGAGAACAAACCAATAGATTTTGAATCAACCCAACCCTGAGTGCTCACTGGAAGGACGGATCCTGAAGCTGAGGCTCCAATACTTGGGCAATCTCATGAGAAGAGAAGACTCCCTGGAAAAGACCCTGATATTGGAAAAGTGGCAGGAGGAGGCAGGAGGAGAAGGGGACAACAGAGGATGAGATGGTTGGACAGTGTAATCGAAGCAACCAACATGAATTTGACACAATTCCGGGAGGCAATGGAAGACAGGAGAGCCTGGTGTGTTCTGGTCCATGGGGTCACGAAGAGTCAGACATGACTTAACGATGAAACAATGACCAATGTTAAAAATGTGTTATTTTCTTGATCCCATTTCGCTTTGCCTCCACCCCAATAACGCTTGCTTCATCTAAAGGAGTGGCTTGTAATCCACAAAAGCTCACACTAAAAGAAATTTGCAGGGGGGAAGATAGTGTCTGAAGTTTCTGAAAACCCTGGGGACCTGTCACAACCAAAGTTGGAACCGTCACAACCAAAGTGAGGAGGGACATGATGACCTCACACTACAGGTAGAAGAAGCCCGAAAAGAAGTCTTAGAGGTGCTACAAGATTAACACAACGATCTCTTTGAAACGTCAGGCACTTGCCACTCTGAAAACCTTTTAAATACAGTATAAAAGTTGGTGGGTTTTTTGTTTGTTTGATTTTTTTGCTACATGCACCTCTTTCTACCCCACGCCACAGAATAGAGCCATAACACTGGCAGAACAGTACAAGAAGTAGCCCACAGAAGAAGTATTTTCTCCAGTATTGGTGTTTCATTGGCTGATCTTGTTATCTATTTGGCCTTTCCACAATCTGTAGAGAGATAGGCTCAGTCCCCACATGCTCCCAGGTCCCACGTGTGCCAATCCACTGAACCTAACAGTTCCCTCCATTGGGAGGTTTCTCTGCTATGGCAGAAGACTGGAATAGGAAGAGAGGAAGCAGGAAGCCTGGCTAGGTAAGCTCCAGCAAGAATAAAAGGCCAAGCAGCAGAGAAATGCAGGGCACTCCCTCCCATAACAATCCATCCAGAGGAACCAGTTTTGGCTAGCTGAGCAGACAGGCATGCACACTTTACATTGGACTTTCGGCATTTATGTTCTTCCTCTGCAGATCAGGAATGCCTGCAGAGGAAGAACATAGCATGGAAGCAGTAGAAACTTCTATGCACGCTGACTCTCTCATTTTCACCATCTTAGAACCGTAGAGCTGGAAGGGACCCTATGGATCAAGTCCATTCCCTGTTGAGGAGGAACAGTGGGGGATCGAACTCCCAACCTCTAGCTCTGCAGCCAGATACCTAAACCACTGAACTATCCAGCAGTTCTACCCTTTCCTCTGTATGCTTTCATTTCAATAACAGACAGTAACTTGGTAGTAATTGTGGTGACTGCAGTTGGGAATGAGGATACTGAAAGATCTAGTATGTAGAAAATGGCAATCTTGGGGCATCATCCAGCACTGGAAAACAGGAATCTCACGCTTGGTCTTTTCCATTTTTGCAACCATGATAATTGTACTTACTCAGGAAAACAAAGCCTCTGCCATAGCTAGAATGTGGGTGACAGAGCCAGTGGAAAAAGACCAGCGGAGATTTCCTTTGAAAGATGATGTTTGGGTTTAATAGCCATCTGATGTTCAAAGCCGCAGCGCTATCACTTAATGTGTGAGGGAATTCCTGCATGAGATAAGAGGCCCTGTGCTCTCCAGCCCTGCACTGACCTTCAGTTTATACTCCTTGCGGTTAAGAATAACCGCTGTGATTTGCTGGTCCATGAAGACAAGAATGATGACCAAAATGGCAGGCACTGATGCAGCCAAGCAGATCCACCAGGGATTCGCTCCAAATGGAAAGACAAACCAACCCCGTGCAGGATTTGTAGGCTGCAGAGAGAAAGGTGAACAGTTAGCAGATCAAAGGCAGCAAACAGAGCTTTCAACAAAGGATTCAGTGGCCACCTCACATCCTTCTAAGACATACTTGCAAGGTACAATCTATACATCCTCCAACTCATGATCTAACCAAAAAGGAAGTCCTGCAGGTGTGGGCTTCCAAATGAACAAATCACAGACTGCTTGTTGCCATTGCTTCTTGATAGTATTTTATGGAGGCTGTGTTAGGGATATATCCAGCTGTGCAAATTTGTGGTTTTTGGACGATGTAGAGAATTCTGAGAGTTGTAGTCCAAAAATAAAAAATCTGCACACATCTGATTATATCACTCTTTCAAGAACTGCATAGTTTTATAAATTCATTAATTTTGTACTAATTTAATTAAAAATAGAATTATACACAGTATAATGTAGTGCATATCTGTGATATTACAAAGTGTGTGTGTGTGTGTGTGTGTGTGCGTGTGTGCATGTGTGTGAGAGAAAGAAAGAGAGAGAGATTCTGTCAGACAATCAGATGCCCGCATTGCTTAAAATTTAAAATGGGGGTGGGGAGAGCAAACCCAACCCAATAGCAAATTGGTAGCCGGTGTAATTCCTGCATCAGAGATATTATGTAATGTTGGAAAGTAACCGAAAACCTTCTGCACCAGCTAGATCTTGCTGATTAGCCTTAAGGGCAACCCCACAAGGAGCACTCTGCAGTAGTCTAAGCTTAACGTTGCCAATGTTTGGGCCACTGTGGGCAGCCATTCTAGTCTAAGCAGAGCCAAAACTGCTAAAAGGCACTCTGAGCCTCTGAGACCAACCTGGGCCTCCAGCCCCAGAAACTGATCCAGAAGTGTCCTCACAGAATGCACTTAATTGTTCAGTGGGGGTGATACCCCTCACAGAACAAGTAGTCTACCTGTCTCCTAGATATAGGAACCAGCCATACATAAAGCCACAATTTTGCCAGAGCTCAGTATGGCCCCAGTTCATCCCTCCACTGCAACCAGACACTATGGATTAAACTGCCACCTCCGTGCCTGTTCCAGAACTGATTGATGATAGTCCTTGCAACAGTGATGACTGTTGCCGGGGAGTTTATGTAGATGGTAAAGAGCATGGGGGGTAAAGTGGTATCTTGCCATGCCAGCATCATAATCCTTTTCTCTCCCTCCCTCCCCTCAACATGTTCCCCTGTTGGTAAAGTTCATCCATGAGGCCTTAACCTAGATTGAAACTGTTTGGCAGTGCTCAACAAGTTGCAACAGGCTTAGGCGTGGGTAGCAGGACTCAGGCAGTCCATCCCCACCTCCATACTAAGGCTGAGTCAGAAGGCTTCTCTGAAGTTCTGTTTCAGTATCTCAGAAAGAGAGTTAATTATAATGAGGCCTTCCCATGGCTGCCAAGGGATGCTGTGTGTGTAGCATTTAATTAACATAATCTTTTGGCAAGTCAGATGGAGAAACCGCAGTTGCCATTTACTGCAGGGGCAGAAGCCTCCTAAGGTTCTTCAGACCACTATCTGGGATACCCGCTTAGTTCAGTCCACCTGGGAACCTCGTTGTCCCACCTTTTATGAAGCCTGGCATCTCACCCACATTGGCCAACACACATTCCCCTGCTGCCTGTTCCAGAGAGAAGCCACAAGCTCCTCGGCCCCTCCTTTGGCTGGCAGGGAGTGCTGTTCTCACTGGAGCCTCTGTTAATCCTCCCACACCCAGGGCTTGTGGCAGGGCTGCTGCTCAAGCCTGGACTTGTGCCACCCATTGGCTCCTCTTCTTTCACAAACTGTGCCCTGAACAGTAGAACCAGGACATGGCTGGCTTTGGCCTATTTATTATGGTAGTAACCACTCTAGGTGAAGGAGCCCTTTGAGGCTTCAAAGTCCTTGCTTGCAGACAAGAGCTGCTCCAGAAGAGGTGAGGGCAAGGCAGCTGAGATTGCTATGCTAGCTTTCTAGTAAAGTTGTGCTTTACACTCCCATTACTCTTCGTCAGGAGGTAGGATGTTTCAGAGTAGCTACTTCCAGAATTTTCCTATGAGAAGAAATGGCAGGAGACTTAAGGAAACAAGTTTACAGCAGGAAGCTGGTGATGGTTTTCGGCTTTGTTATTCTTTTTTCCTCCAGAGTGTCATGGCTTTCCCAGTGAATCCTGGGAACTGTAGTCTGTTGGAGGACCTGAGATGCTTCTTCTTGATCTCCTTGACAGAAATACAGTCCCTAGGATACCCGAAGAAGTGGGAATGACTGTTCATCCAGTGTAAAGCAGCAATCCCACTCACATTTAACTGGTGAGTAAGTCTCACAGAAAGTGGTAGGACTTATTTGTGAGTAAACATAGGTATAACTGAGATGTAGTGTTATATAAGCCTCCTCTCAATCTAGTGCCCCGCCAATGGAATGGACCAGGGGTGACAGTGGCTACTGGGAGTTGGAGCCTGTTGTCTGCATGTAATGATGGATTACTGCCTGCAGATTAATGCCTCTGTGTTCTGTAATTGATGTAACTGCAATGGTGTGAGATAAAGCCATAGGGACCTCTGCATAAAGAAGGAAAGGAATGTGTTTCCTTTTGATACAGGTGAGTAGAGAAAGGCAGGAGAGTGCAAACCTGACATTCAGTAAAGGCACATCATGGATAGGTTCACCAGATCATAACCAAACAAAGTGTACAAAGTTTAAAGTTTCCAGATAGCAGCAATGGCTTCTCTTGACTCTCTCTCCTACTGTAATGAGCATGGTTCCAGGACCGCAACTGAGGCCACTGCTATGGCTTAACTTGGCTTCCATTATACTGCAGATTTCCAAAAGTAAATTCATTGTTCTCCCTAGACTTGAGTGGTTGGCACCTTTACATTAGACAGACAGTGTCATCTAGTGACTATGAGCATAACTTGGGAGCTGGAGAATTTCTTCTTCAAACTTCATCTGTTACTGTGTGGTCTGTAAGTGATGTTATTCAGACCATTGTTTCTCTGCATGATCATCTTATCAACTGTCTGTATTAAAAATATTGACCTACCATTACAGAGTATTTGTGGTATCAGAGAATTGGAAGTTGGACTGTGATACATGTTTTCTCACTTTACTCTCTGTCATTAAGATTGACCTACCATTACAGAGTATTTGTGGTACCAGAGAATCGGAGGTTGGACTGTGATACGTTTTCTCACTTTACTCTCTGTCATCAAGTGCAGAAGATATCCAAAAACCTTCTGTTGAGCCCAAAGACTGTACAGTGGTGCCTCGCTAGACAATTACCTCGCGAAACGGTTAATTTGCAAGACAATGATTTTTTGCTCGCCCAAAGACTGTACAGTGGTGCCTCGCTAGACAATTACCTCACAAAACAGTTAATTTGCAAGACGATTTTTTGCTATAGCGCTTCGCAAAACGGTTCTTCCTATGGGCGATTTTCGCTAGACAATGTTTTGGTCCGTGCTTTGCAAGACTTTTTTTTCCCGGGACCGTTTTTCGCAAAACGACAATTTTGACAGCTGAGTCCGCGCTTCACAAAATGGTTTTATACGGTCCGTGCTTTGCAAGACGGTTTTTTTTCCGGGACAGTTTTTCGCAAGATGACAACTTTGACAGCTGGTTCCGTGCTTCGCAAAACAGTTTCTCTATGGGCGATTTTTGCAAGACGATGATTTTTCCCCCCATTGGAACACATTAAATGGATTTCAATGCATTCCAATGGGGAACCGCATTTCGCAAGATGATGTTTTCACAAGACAGCGATTTTCGCGGAACGAATTAACATTGTCTTGCGAGGCACCACTGTATATATGAAAGAAGATCATGATGGAATGGGACGCACTCACTGAGTTAACCCTTAAGAGGAGACAGTGATTTTCGCGGAACGAATTAACACTGTCTAGCGAGACACCACTGTATATGTGAAAGAAGATCATGATGGAATGGGACACACTCACTGAGGTAACGCTTAAGAGCACTATAGCTTCCATCATCCACTGTCACCCAGTCTTCCAAAGCCAGAAGGACAGTATCTGTTGTGTCAGGGACCCAATTAAGTTAAGAGCACACTGTCATCTTGAACAGAGTTAACAGCCCAGCAATTAGTTAAGCAAAGCTATTTCACATGTACGCCTTTAAGGAAACTGGAACAAAGCTGCTTATATCCAGAGAGGCTCTTCTGGAACTTACTGAAGTGGCCACCTGCTATTTCTCCAAACGTGGGAAACTCAACTGCATAGTTTGTGGTTAAAATTCCAAACAGTTTAAATGCACCTCTTATACAACCAATGAGAATCACCCTTGTGCCTGGTTCTGACAACCTCACCTTGAACTGGTTTGGCACGATGAGCTTTGGGGTCTCTAATCCAAGGACAGCATCAATTCCACAGAAGGTAAGGATAGCCAAGATAATGGAGAAATCCCCTACTAGCCGCCTCAGCTAAGAAGCCAAAAGAAAGAAACAAACAAACAAACAAACAAACAAAAATGAGATTAACCAAAGTATTCAGACACAAACATATGCCTCTCCATCTCAGTTAAGCCCTAGACTTTAAAAAAAATGAGGGGGGGGGAGAAGGAGGATAAAACACTGTGTAATGAAATATCTCGTACAAAGTATCTTTCTTCTTAATGGCTGTTAACTCGTAATCATACCATTAAATCACACTTTCTGTAGATCTGTGAATATGTGGGCACATGAGAGAAAGGGAATGGTGGTCTTTAGAAGATGTAGGGGAAATTTATGGGCAATGGGTTTTACTGTGTTCAGTGGGGTTTACTTGTGAATAAACATGTATAAAGTGGTTCTGTAAGAAAAATTTTAAAAACACATGGATGAGCACCTCTTAATCAGGCAAAGAACAAGGCAATCCCTCTTCTACTCTCATACTTGCCGGTGGGCCACAAGGACACACATATCTCCCGCCTCAAAGTGAGAGGAGGGTTGTACAAAGAAATTTAGCACTGAAGGTTTGGTTGGAGGCTACAGCCTGCCATTCAGCAACACTTCCTGGCCTGGGAGTGAGAAAAGAAAGTAGTCTGTGCCTTCCCTTCCCTGGAAACTTTCCATATTCTGAGAGGCACAATTCAACTTCCCACAACCCACTTTCCTTTTTAACTGTGGAAGTTATATGGACTAGGGAGAGCAGGATGGCTGCAATCTGTATTCTGTGATGAATGATGGGGCGGGTTGTATGAAACAGGAAGGACAGGTTTATAAGAACAACAGCAACAACAGTGGGATACTCTTGTCTTTTTCAAATGCAAACAACATGTGCAGAATGATAAATCACTGACACCCCCCCCCAATATTTGAAACTAGTAATGTAAAACAACATTTGTAGCCAACTGCTTTCTGGGCTTGATCTAAGGGGTTTGTTTTAACCTTTAAGGCACTAAAAATATAGGACCTGGTTCTATAAGAGACCACCTTAGGTCTTCTGGAGGGGCCATCTTGAGAATGCCATCAACTTCAGGGCCTTGCCTTGGCACAGGTGATGACTTCCTCCTGTGATGTTTCCAAATTGTAAAGTGTACATTTTTCAGAGCTGGGATCAGTTCTCACTCTCACAGCTTGTAGAAAAAGTAGGAAAATACATAAATATTTTCAAATTGTTTTGCTCTTTATGGAATATTCCTTTCTAAAATCTGTTTTTAGTGGCATTTGTTAGCCACTGTGAGCACTTTTTTTAGTGGAAAGATAGGATTAAAAATAGCTGACTGGATCAGTGGTTATCTACTTCTAGAGCCAGAGGCTGGCAATTCAATTCCTCACTATGCCTGCTGGGAGAAGTGTCAGCCTGTGTAGCCCTGGGCAAGCTGCACAGCCCCAGAGTGCCCTCAGAAGTAGGGAATGATAAATCCCTTCTGAGTATTTGGTTCTTAGAAAACTCTAGAAAGAGTTGTTCTCCATGGAACATTTTGCATATAGTTTTAAGTCATCCATGTATAACAGATGATGATGATGGTGGTGATGAGTAGTAGTAGTAGTAGTAGTAGTAGTAGTAGTAGTAGTAGTATATGCTGAACTAAATGATTAATTTATAATGGTCAAATATAGATTAAATAGACTTTAGGAGGGGCGAATAATTAGTAGTAGTAGTAGTAGTAGTAGTAGTAGTCGTCGTCGTCGTCGTCGTCGTAGTATATATGCTGAACTAACTGATTAATTTATAATGGCCAAATATAATTAAATAGACTTTATGTGTATGTGTACTTTTCTCTCTTTGTTTACTTTCTAGCCTTGGTCTCCATCCTGTGCAAATTCTCTTATTTCTATAACGTAGATATATACAGTACTTGACTCATCACCATAACATATGGGCATGACTGCACTGATTCACCTGCTTGCTGAAGTTATGTTACAGTTTTAAAAAAAAAACAAACCAAAAAAGCAACAGACTCTTGGAATACCTTAGAAACAAACACATTTAGAGGCTGAAATCCTGTTCCTTGGTGTGATAAGCTGCAATTAGAGTAGACCCATTGAATCACTGAAACTTACAGAGGGTGCTGACTCATCAAATCCCCACTGATTCAATGAGCCTATTCTGATTGTGACTTACTATGCCAGGGCACGGGATTTCGGCCACTGTGACGTTGTAAGGGATAAGCTGCAATTAGAGTAGACCCATTGAATCACTGAAACTTACAGAGGGTGCTGACTCATCAAATCCCCACTGATTCAATGAGCCTATTCTGGTTGTGACTTACTATGCCAGGCCACGGGATTTCGGCCACTGTGATGTAGGGACAAGTTTGCTAAGGCCCAAGGTTGGGGACCACTGTCGTAAGGGACAAATCTGCTAAATGTTCACGTTCCAAAGTATCCTTTGTTCTACCTGCAGTTTACTAACAAGCACCCTGATAGTCCAAAGACAAGCAAGACATTGGAGCTACTCACTGCGGTGGGGAAATACCGGCTTGACTTAAAGTTCTTCAGTACCATAGAGGAGAGGAAAGTCCCCAAGAAGAGAATGAAAGACATGAAAGCAATGTCAGGCACGTAGTTGCAGCTGTTGCCCTCTAGGTGGCCTCCTAGTTGCACGCACTGTTCTTTGGTCAGCAGGGACCAATTCCCGGGCTTCGGATCTGGTTGCTGCGGAGAAGGTCAGATCATGAGGGAAAACGCGCTGCTCGCCTCCAGGAAATGGATCACAGCCTAGCGCGTTGCAGAAGCGTTGCCATTAGGTAAAATTGCGCGCGCGGGGGGGGGGTGAGGGCGAAGACAGCTGATGAAAGGAATTCACGATTAATACATTATATTCTAAAAACCCAGTTCCACAGCTTTGCTTCTGGGTCATAGCCAGGCTTTTTAGAACACTGCAAGCCTTGTTCTTTTGATGCGTCAGAAGCCTAACCTAATGATGGTGGCAGGACGGTCATCTCTGTCCTGTGCTGCCCTTCTTTCCTCTCTGGAAGAACTCTCTCTCCTGGGTGCGAAGAAGATACATCTCGGGCCACGTCAGGAAGAGAAGGAGCAGCACATATAGCTCAGGGTGGCATGGGGCTTTTCTCCCTTCTAGGGTCCTGCTAGGAAAGGTGGAAGGCAGCAGGGGAAGCAGGAGACCCAACTCAAGATGGATTGATTCCCTAAAAGAAGCCAACAGGCTTGAGTTTACAAGAGCTAAGCAGCTGAGGAGAGGCCATTTTGGAAATTGCTCATGGGTAGGATTGCCATAAGTTGGAGGCAACTTGATGGCATATAACAACCACCACAGGATCCTTGACAGCCAGGCATTGAAATCCGGGTGGGTTAGGGCAAAGGCAGTGGGCATCTTTAGGCTGTCTCAGCAGGCTCATCCTTCCTCTTCCACTTCATGCCAAGCTCAGCCTGTGCTGGCAATCTGCCCTCCCAAATAGCTGTGCATTTATTTCACTTTTCACATGAAACGGAATTAAAAAGCATTGGGTGTGTTTTCTTTGCGGCTGAGGAATCACTGGTCCGTGAACTCCCTGGAGTGGTCTTCTAGCATTTGTGAGACTGATGTTATCTGGTAATCAATAGTGTATCATTGGAAGGGAGATGGTGTATGTTGGTGATGGGGGGGCTTTGAGTGGGTTCATATAAAGGCAACTGCATAGGATAGCTGATAACTCGGGGCAATCAAACCATCCTGATTATGAAATGGGGAAAGATATAAGCTTTTCAAGGGGTGCTGACTTCTTGCCTTTGCTTGGGTCACAGAGACCTGAGGATCTTTGGTTTCCTTCCATACACATCCTGCCCCATAATAACTATTTAATTTCTTACCTCCCCAAAAGTGCTGAGGTCAGGGGTCAGCGTCTTGTTCATAAGAGAGAAGTTGCCTGCAAGAAACAGTCAGTCCAAGGCATTAGTTCTTGTCTCAAACAATCACTCAGGTCTACAGTTGCTTGAAAATTAGAGATTCTTCATGTCAGAGAAGTTTCCTAGATAACACACCTGTTAAGCCATGCTGGCTCATTCATGATCTGCACTGTTGTTGGGCAAAGCTTAGATGTAACATATTACAATAAATGTAGTTACCTGTGAGTAGGGTGTTTTTTTTTGCGCAACAAGAGACAGAAATTCACATTTGTATTTCAAAAAAAAATGCAACAAGGAGGAACAAATTTATTTATTTTATGTCATGCAAAATATTTTGATAATGTCAGACTCTAAAACACAAAGGAACAAGAAGTTTTTTTTTCTTAATTCAATGGAGGGGAGTGTGCTGGTTGGCCAGTTTTTTTCATGCTAAAAATTGATTTTTCCCCCCACTCAGTGCTAACAGTGCATGACAGAACATCAAACAGTAGCACATGATAAAAGGGACAGACAGGATGTATCAGAGAGGCTGTACCCTTCCTGGAGCACAGTAATACAGTATATTTTATTTTTATTTATTTTAATTTTATTTTATTTATATCCCGCCTATCTGGTCCACACCTATTGTGCTTTACAGGCTTCTCTTTTGTTTGCATAATATTGTCTCAATAGCCATTTTCAACCTTTTCTTGGCCATGGTCATAAACACAATACGAAAGAAATATAGGCCAAATTAGGATTGTATAAATAGCATAGAAAATCTTATAAGGTGCTGTGTGAATAATTGTTTCCAGTCTGTGGTCCCCTTCAAATGTGCCAGGACCCCCCCTGGGGGGGGCATAGGGCCCCTCATTGAGAATAGCTGCTCTAGAAGAGAAGCTGGTGCACTGATAATTGCAACACAGAGGTTTTTGTTTACAAAGGGGGACAATTTACTGCACTTGAACACAAAATCCTAAACATTTCAAAAATTAAGGTATTCCAAGAGAACTAGATCAAATTGTCCATGTGGTGCAGCCCACCCACCTACCCTCCCAGCAATACTGAAAATTCACCTTACCTCTCTCTGACATATGGCAGGTGCAACTGTACAAGGTGACATCCCCAATCTTGTAGTCCCAGTTGACTGGGTAGTGTTCCACAAGGGACAGCATCTTCTTCACTGCATCATAGATGAAAATGAAGCTGATGAGGGCACAGAAGCCTTCTTCCGTGAAGCGTGTGAAATACTGCACCAAGTAACTCGCTTCTGTTGCCACCAGGATAAGGCCAAAGAAGGCCACCCAGAGGCCAATCCAAAGGCGGAATTCTAAATAATCCAAACTGTAGTCTCTGGGAAGAAGGAGGAGCAAGAAAGATTCCTTTAATAAGCTGACTTGCTCAGAAGGCAGCAATCCACAGGATGAGATTTAAGCCATTCAACTGATGGAGGGGGGGGGAGCAAAATGTGGCCTCTCGGTTTTGTGGAGCCCCCCCCCATGCCCCCGTCTGGCTCCCAGGCCTCTCCAGCCCCTGATCCCTAAAATCCTGAACAAAAAAAGTCAGCATCTCTGTTAGGCGAATTGAATCCCTGGAAGCCAGGGGGAGGGCTGTTATTTGTTGTTTAATAACAATCTTCACTCCTAAGGGTATTTTAGGCATTAAATGGTCTTTTTAAAAAGAAACCAGAAATGACTGGCATTTTAAGGCCTAAAGCCCAGGAAGGGATGAAATTGTGTTTAAGTGACAAACTGAGGCTTCAGGGGGCATCAGTGTGACATTTTGTGAGCTTTATTCCAACAGGAGTTTTGGGGAGTTATGGGTGTTTTGAGGGGAAGCAGTCCTCTGAGGTCTTGCAGGAAAACAGAAGTGACTCCAAACTTGGATGTTCCCTACTCCAATGTAGGCATTTCACTCATGGCTCAAACTTCTTGCTGAGAGCTCAGAAGAAGATTCTTACACCCTCAGCCCAGCCAGCTGAGCAGCTGAATGACCATCTCCACACAGCAGGAGAACCTGAAGTTCAGCAGGTAAGAGTGAAGAAGCCACCTCACCGCTTGTTAATGGCTTTCTTATAATCTCGCAGCTTTGGTTGGTTGTTGGGCTCTTTGTTGAAAGACAGTAGAAGGGTAACAGTCTTCTGCTCGTTGATATTTAGGCATTCAAGGTTAGTCATCTGATAATTTCAGACATCAAACAGCAGGCAAGAGAAAGGGAGGGAGGGAGGGAGGGAGGGGTGACCCAGCCTTCCCCAAGCTGGCATCTTTTGACTATATTTCTCATCATCTCCAACCCAAAAAGCAAACACTTACTGATATGAGGGCTTTACTTACTTGCTAAAGGAAAACAGAAGTCTCTCAAAAACAAGGACAGGGCCAGTACTGCTCAGGATGGTCAGAGGCTGGCCAGCAAACAGGCAGAAGAACGCACCAGCAATCGCAGTGCCCAGGAAACTCTCCAGTACACCCTAAAACATACGAAGAAGCAGATGGGTCGAATGACGGACGGAAGCTTGTGCTCAGCTAATTGCTACAATAGGGATGGTGAGGATAAGGTGGCACTCCATGGCTATCATGCCATGAAAACCGCCTTTCTTCTGTCCCATGCAAGATGCTCAGGAAATGTAAGGTGGGGGCGGAGAGGAGAAGTCATAGCATCCACAGAGGAGCGCAGTGTGTTGCCATCAGGGCTCTTCCACAGACCTGCATGTTGTCTGTGGCATCTCCCAGCATTCCTCCAAAGGTGATCGCGTTGGTGACTGTGGCCAGGTAGATGTAGAGGATGGCTGAAAAGCACTGGAGGTTGAGGGCATCATAGAAATCGCTGCAATACCAAGGGGCTTTCCTTTGGATATCCTTTAATAACCCTCCAAATAGCCTGCAAGAAGATAGAGACTCTGGTAATGCTTGGTTTCTAATAGCCCAGCCAGCTGAGCAGCTGAATGACCATCTCCACACAGCAGGAGAACCTGAAGTTCAGCAGGTAAGAGTGAAGAAGCCACCTCACCGCTTGTTAATGGCTTTCTTATAATCTCGCAGCTTTGGTTGGTTGTTGGGCTCTTTGTTGAAAGACAGTAGAAGGGTAACAGTCTTCTGCTCGCTGATATTTAGGCATTCAAGGTTAGTCATCTGATAATTTCAGACATCAAACAGCAGGCAAGAGAAAGGGAGGGAGGGAGGGAGGGAGGGGTGACCCAGCCTTCCCCAAGCTGGCATCTTTTGACTATATTTCTCATCATCTCCAACCCAAAAAGCAAACACTTACTGATATGAGGGCTTTACTTACTTGCTAAAGGAAAACAGAAGTCTCTCAAAAACAAGGACAGGGCCAGTACTGCTCAGGATGGTCAGAGGCTGGCCAGCAAACAGGCAGAAGAACGCACCAGCAATCGCAGTGCCCAGGAAACTCTCCAGTACACCCTAAAACATACGAAGAAGCAGATGGGTCGAATGACGGACGGAAGCTTGTGCTCAGCTAATTGCTACAATAGGGATGGTGAGGATAAGGTGGCACTCCATGGCTATCATGCCATGAAAACCGCCTTTCTTCTGTCCCATGCAAGATGCTCAGGAAATGTAAGGTGGGGGCGGAGAGGAGAAGTCATAGCATCCACAGAGGAGCGCAGTGTGTTGCCATCAGGGCTCTTCTACAGACCTGCATGTTGTCTGTGGCATCTCCCAGCATTCCTCCAAAGGTGATCGCGTTGGTGACTGTGGCCAGGTAGATGTAGAGGATGGCTGAAAAGCACTGGAGGTTGAGGGCATCATAGAAATCGCTGCAATACCAAGGGGCTTTCCTTTGGATATCCTTTAATAACCCTCCAAATAGCCTGCAAGAAGATAGAGACTCTGGTAATGCTTGGTTTCTAATGGTAAGTGATTATTTTGGAGCCATTTCTCCTTTTAAAGCTGTAACCTAGAATAGAGCAGCTCTAGGCAGAAAGTAGACCAAGTGATCTGCAATAGATCCCCAAGGGTGTTGACGCCCAGCTGTTTGACAACAAAAGAAAAAAAATAAGAAGCCTCCTCCACTGGGAGGCTAAGAGAGCTGGGAAGAAACAGAAGTAGAGCTTTGTGTGAAATCACTTGTCGGTGAGCTGCTGAACTGGTACTGAAAACCAGCTCTGGGCTGAGTCCTTGTGCAGAGGCCCCTAGATCTGCATTCCTGTGCCAACCACCGTTTATTGTATATCTAGTTGATAGGGGGAAAACTGCCTCCTCTCCATTCTTCCACCCCCCCTCCCCTTGCCTTGACCATCCTGCTTTTACCGTCCTGTCCTCTTCAGCTCCTCGCTGACATGCTGATGGCCATGTCCATGCATATGCCGGTCATCCATGGCGGATATGTTCCCATTAGAGTGAGGACTCCATTCACGGAAGTGCATGGACAGCCTGAGAATACAAGGGACATAATTTAGGGTAGGGCCATCCCTGATCTACAAGAAAGCATCAGACCATTGATCATTAGGCAATATTTCCCACTAGCCACCATCCCCACCACCAGGGCTTCCAACAGCTTCCGCACATGATCGAATTGCACACCCTTCGCAGATCTCACTTTCTAACACTGATCCACTGAGAAAGAGAACAATCTCTGTTGGGGTCGGGATTGGGACATGGTATCTGGGGTGGTGACAGCGCTGCCAGGAGGTCATGGGGCCTTGCCCTGTCTCACCCCATTGCTCCCTCTTGGAAAAAACGAAGACGGAAACAGGGACATTCAGCTACCTCTGAGGACATAGGGAGGACCAGCTATGTCCTAACTAGGAAACAGTGATGCTGCCTGGCAGAAACAAGCAACTACCTTGGCCTCTTGTATTTCTCCAGCAAAGAATAAAAAATACACTGAACTTCGCTGTTTAGCTGAAATGAAGTCGGTATGTGAACCTGCAAGATGTGCACAACCTTGGTGCACTCTTGACAAAAAGAGCCAGTCTTTCCCAGCCGTAGGTTAGAATGACTGAAATGCTGGGAAGAAGCAGCATCACATGCACTAAGCTGGATGAAGCTCTTTCAGTTCCTCACTAGAAATGAGGAATAAATGGGCTTCCGTTGTACTGCAGTGATCCTGGTCCATAGAGATTCTTGCTGGACTAGAAAAAGATGGCCCTGCTGTAGCCAGGAAAGAAGTATTTATTACTCCAGGCTTTTCCTCATTGATTTTTCATCAAATGGACGGCCTCAGATTCACCAGAATTTAATCAGTGTTCTCCCATTCCCAGTTCCTCTCTGTTTATACCTCTTCTGTGGTGAGGGCAAGCATTTTGGGGGAGAAATTCGGATGGTTGGGTCCCATTTGCCTGGAGGTAGGACAGTCAGCTCATCCAGAAACTCATCGATTCCTGCAATGAGATCTTCTGCACTTTTTGCTTTCCAGGCAACCCTTTGGAAAAGCTGGAAGAGAAGGGTGTTAGTTCTAGTTTTGACTTTTAATAGGCAAAGTTAATAAGATAATGTGATCCTTGGGGACCATCCAGAGAACATGCAGAGCCTTGTTGTGCTTTCAGTCAGAGAAGGAAGCTACTCAAATCCCCCAAACCACATCCAGGCTATGAAGTGCAGGATCCGGCTATAGGGTCCCCGGCAGAGGGCCATCCAACTTGTAATGAAACAACTCCAGCAAAAGGAGACCTCACACCTCCCAAGGCAGTCTATTCCAATGCTAAATTGCCTTCCACTGATAGGAGGTTCCATTTAGCCAAATCTGCTTCTTTGCCATTTGCACGCCTTGATTCTACACCTGCCATTGGGCTTGACAATGAATCCTCTCCCTCTTTTACATCGATAGCTTGTTAGATAGGAACGCTAGATAGCTCAGTAAGTTAGGAATCTGGCTGCTGCAGAGCCAGAGGGTGAGAGTTTGATTCCCCACTTTGCCTCCTTGACATGAGGCTGGACTCGATGACCCATAGGGTCCCTTTCAGCTCTGCAGTTCTAAGGTTGTTGTTATTGACATCACCATCATCATCATAATCATACTTGAAGACAGCTTTCATGGCACTTAATATTCTCTTCTCCAAGCTAAATATATATTGATCTTTCAACTAATGATTGTAGGATGTGGTTTCTTTAACTCACACCATTCTGTGGACACAGACACTTTTCTCTGTTTTCCAAACACTGCACAGTCTTCTCTGGTTGTACTCTAACTTTTTTTAAAACAGCCTGCTCAGAACTGGTCATAGCAGGCTGGATGCTGCTGTACTAATGTAAAAAAGAGTAGAACTATTATTTCCCATGTTCTGCACTCTGTGTTTCTGTTAATGTAGCTCAAGACCGTATTAGCTTTTTTAGCTGCTAGATTACAACATTGGCTGAGATTCTGCACTAAGGTCCATATACCACTGCCAAGCCGGATCTCTTCTGTCTGTGGAGGTATTTTTGTATCTAGGGGTCTTCATTTAATCTCATCCTGTTATTGCTTTCCTGTCTAGTTCCTTCTGAACCTAGACTGTATCCTCTATGATGTTGAATATCACTCCTAGCTTTGTGTGATCTAGAGATCCCTTAAAAATGTTGACATCCTTGAAATATTTTTAGAATGGTTTGTTTTTGTACCTCAGAAAATCTAATTGACTTTAATTGAAAGCATTCAACCGGAACCTGACGTCAGAAATGAACAACATTCATCACAATGTGGGATTTCAAAACAACAACCATGCATTGCAGAGGGAAGAGTAAACCATAGAAAATCTTGGATGTTGTCGCTGTTTGTTACTGTTCTGAGACAAATGGAATTTAGCATGGATGGCAGAAAAAGTACAGTACTGATGTCATCAGTGCACCATCAGCTACATTGGGGAGAACAGGAAAATAAATGCTCCATCTGGAAATGTTCACAGGCACATATCTTTGAAATAGAAAGCAGGACTCTGAGGTTTGCACAGACTCATAATTCTGCCTTCAAAAAAATAAATAAATGGACAATAAACATATAAATACATTCAACAACTCTCCATAGTACATTTTAAAATGACTGTGGGCAGAGTTCTGAAAAACATTAGCAGCCACCATGAAAATTATGCATCAGAGGCAGCCACCTATGAAAATCCCACGTGCTAAAAACAAAAAATTCTTCCTTCAGAATGAGAAGATTCCTCTCAGGGTACTAATTGTCTGCTATTTGCCTTCTAGGCGTTGAAACTACCATACTATCAAAAAACTAGCGACAGCAATTCTATGCCACCCATCCCCATTCCCCCCGGCACCCAAACTTACATCATCCGTCAGGAGAGTAGCCACTGCCCTGCCAATTTCATGGTAGGC